TAAAAAATAAAAACAGGGTGCAGTAGCTCATGCCTGTAATCCCAGCACTTTGGAAGGCTGAGGTAGGGGGATGATAGCTTATGGCCAGGAATTCAAGACCAGCCTGGGCAACATTGTGAGACCTTATCTCTATTAAAAAAAAAAAAGAAAGAAAGAAAGAAAAAAAATCAAAAAATTAGCTAGGCATGGTGGCATGCTCCTGTAGTCCCAGTTATTCAGGAGGCTGAGGTGAAAAGATCTCTTGAGACCAGGAGTTTGAGACTGCGGTGAACCATGCTTATGCCTAAGCGACAGAGTGAGACCTTGACTCAAAAATAAAAAACAAAAGGCCTTAACAAATTTCTTAGGCGAATTGAAGCAATTCATTGCTAGATGTTGATAGAAAAACATTCTCTCCCTAACCGTTTTTTAATGTGAATAGACTTGTTGCTGGTTAAGGAGTTGGGTGTGTCTGGGGCATGGCTTTATCTCAGAAACAGGACTGCTTTCAGGTGTGATACAAGATGGGCAACTCCAAGGAGAGAAAAAGAAAAAAAAGGAGAAAAAAATTGCTAGTGAAGACTTGATGGCGAGAAATTAAGGCCATGGGGGGCCTAAAGCTCCTCAATGGAAAAGTTTTTGATTATGGTTGTTAACTCTTGGCATCCAAATTGCTATTCACTTCTGGAAGAAAGACAACATTTGTATTATTGACTCTTTTGGAAACTTTTTTGTTTTTTGTTTATTTTTTTCTCACTGTTTGCCAGGAAAATAATCATTGTACCAGTTGGTTAATGCCATAATAATAAAAGCACCGCAAAATCTCAATGGCATACAACTTTATCTAGTGTACAAGTCTATAGGTGAGCTGGGAATTAGCTGATCAATGCTGGGTTCAGCAGAGAGACTCTTCTTTTCATGCCTGTACTATGTCGAGTTTTCTTATAGCTATGGCAAAGAAACACAAGGTCAAATCCAGTTGCCCAAGTACTGCCTAAGCATCTCTCAAAGGATAAGGAAATACACCCTGCCCCCAGGAAGAGGCACAACAAAAGACTGCGATAAAATGAGGGTAGAAGAATAGTAGCTGTATGCAATCAAGCTCTGTGTGAACGTTTTGCTTGTTTGAGACAGGGTTTCACTCTGTCACCTAGACTGGTGCAATGCCACAATCCTGGCTCACTGCAACCTCGATCTCTTGAACTCAAATGATCCTCCCTCTCAACCTCGCAAGTAGCTGGGGTTACAGGTGCACACCGCCAAGCCCAGCTAATTTTTTTTTTTTAATTTTTTGTAAAGATTCAGGTTTTATTATGTTGCCTAGGTTGGTCTCGAACTCCTGGGCTCAAGTGATCTTCCTGCTTTGGCCTCCCAAAGTGCTGGGATTACAGGCATGAACCACCAAATCCAACCTGTGTGGACATTATTGTTATAGAATATTTTATAAAAGAAGAAACAGGATCAGAAAGATAACGTCACTTGCCCCAAGATCACACAACTAGATAGCAGTAGGAGGACTTTCTAATAACACTCAGAAGAAGGGGAAAGTGGTAGACTTTTCCTTACTTTGATCACAGTTTATTCCCTTTTTAAATTTGTTTATAGGTTACAGGTGGAAGTAACAGAAAAAATGAGGAGACAAATAATTCTGAGGTAAGAAAGTAGCCGTATACTGGGTTGATAAAACGTGGAATAGGAGGTGGTTTTGTTTCTTGTTTTCTAGTGACCACTCATCTATCTAAAAGTTTCTCTGGACTCCTGCCTAGATTTTTTTTTTAAATGGTAAACTTCACATAAAAATAATTGCTACATTATTACAAATACCAAGGATAGATTTTCTTTTTAAGTTCATATACACAAAGAAACAGTGGCAGCTAAGGGAGATAGAATCATGTTTTGTAGATGACTAGACTGCAGTAATAATTCCTATAAATTTTTGAGCACATGCACCTGGTATTTGTGAATATATTTATTTATAAATAATAAATGCACTGCTATACAAATAAATGCAACTCAAGAACATGTTAAATGCATAAATAATATTTTAATAGTAATTTTGACCTGATAATAATCTTTCATGGAATAATGTCATCAATCACACTTCATTATTTCTGAAAATTTTCACTGGGTTTTAATAGCATCTTAGCTGGAAAAGATAGCTCACAAAGAGGAACATACACAACAAACACACAGGGAGAGGTTCTTCACTAATGATACCAGATGCAAGTCTATATATTTCTTTTTCATTCTGCTGATTTAGGGGGAGAGCAGACTTCTTGTCACATTGGATTTACTTTTCATTGTTTTTAATCCCACAGTGTGGGTGGTGAACAGCTTCTACTGGCTCTAGAAGTGTAGATTCTACCATTTTCTAGTTCACCGGTGTTACATCTGGCATCATTTTCAATTCAGAATTCACTTCTCAGCCAGTACCTCTTTAAGTCACTTGTCAATTTGTGGGGCTTGCATCAGCTAAAACTAGGTCACATAATGTTCCTTCATCAAGCTCATAGATGATCCTCTATCGTAAAATAAAACTCCTCTAACCCTATAGCCACCTCCGACTCCCACTCCATCTCTCTGTGCTCCTGTACATCTAAACTCTGAAACCTTTGCTATGCTCAATTTCTCTCTTTCCATCCTTTCTTGAGTTCATTGAGGCTTGAATTTCCACCATTTCACCAACATTACACTTGCCAAGGTCACCATGGAGAAGCATGTGACACAGATGCTGGCTACTCCGTCCTTCTCTTTCTTCTGTGCCACCATTTGACATTTACTGGTCTTTGATTTTACTGACCATGTATTCTCTGTCTCCTTTACTAGTTCTTCATCATCTGCTCAACCTCCAAATGTTAGAGATGTTGGAGGGTTTACACCCTCCAATGGCATTATGATTCATTCAGAAAATAAGCTAAGTTATTTATGGTAGTCAGCAAGTTCCCACAAGATCCATCACCCTCCCTCCAATTCTCTGACTCATCTCCTCTTATTCTCCCTGTTATTTATTCCCTTCCAGCCACACTGGCCCTCTTAACAAGAGTGCCTGAAAAAGTTATGACACTGGCCCAAGTTTTTATCCAAAGATTTTATCCAAAGATAAAGGAGAAATTAGACCACAGGTCCATTTAAAAGTATAAAAGTGAAAGAGAATCAAGTTGCTTTCTACTTGTACCCAACAAGAGTATTGCTCTTTCAACATAAAGGTGATACAAGGCCGGGTGTGGTGGCTTACACCTGTAATCCCAACACTTTGGGAGGCTACGGTGGGAGAACTGCTTGAGCCCAAGAGCTTAAGACCAGCCTGAGCTACATAGTGAGACCTCTTCTCTATCAAAAAAATAAATAAATAAATTAGCTGGACGTGATGGTACACATCTGTAGTCCCAGCTACTCAAGAGGCTGAGATGGAAGGATTGCCTGAGCCCGCTAGGATGAGGCTCCCATGAGCCGTGATCATACTACCACACTCCAGCCTGACAGAGTGAGACGCTGATTCAATAAATAAATAAGTATACAAACAAATAAAGGTGATACACAACAGATCTCTACTGTCAGCGCTAACAAGCTGGTCAGTGGAAGATACAAGAGAGAAATCATTATAAAAATTCCAACTCTAATATGTGGTAAAAAGAGATCTGTGGAACCATAAAAGTGTGTAACTGGCAGATTTCATTCTAGATCACTGTGTCAAAAGGCAGTTTACAGAACGACCAATTTGTCCAGTGTTCTTGTTTCTATGACTATTTATAATGTTTATTGAAAAGCCTATTGGAGAGGATGACTTTTGCATTTGCAGTTCTTGCATGGGTTTAATGAGCTTGTCTTTGTCAGTCTTCATAACAGGGTTTTTTTTAGACTGAGCGATTCGTCTCTGTCATTTTCTCGTTGCTGTTTGTTACCGCAGGTTTCTGTGGAAGGAGAGGGGCACTCACTGCTGGGAGCAGAGGAGACTAGAGGACAGGAGGCCCACCCTCCAGAAGAAGCCACTAGGGGACAGGGAGAGAGCAGCGGCTCTCCACATATAGACTTTGGCCTAACTATCCTGTTCCCAGCACTCATGCTATTGCCTCTGGATTCCTGCAGATCTAATTGGCCTCTGACCTGTCTCATCCGATCTCCAGAAAGATCTTCCTAAAACGCAAATCTGCTTCAAGTCGCTCAGAGGCTCCCTCAGGACCTGCTCCCTCATTTCCTGCCACCCGCTCGCTCTATTCTCCAGCCTCAGAATCACTGCTGTCTTTCTTACAGTCCTGCCTGGAGTCCCTACCCACGACTGCCTTTGTCAGCTGAGTCTCCCCATCAGAATTCCGCCCAGATATCAGCTCCTCCTGGAAATGTTCCCTTGGCTCCTAGTCATGCTCAGAGATGTCCTATGGACATCCCCGGCCTGTGTCTATCAGGGAAATTGTCACTACGCTTGCTTGTCTCTCTTCAGGTTGGTGTGCTCCTCAGGGCAGGGAACTTTTATTTCTCTTGCCTCTTTATTCCTCACCTCCTTTTATTCCATGTCATATTCACTTTAGCAGGATTGTGCATGTCTAAGAGTTTAATAAAAGGTTTTGTATTTAATAATAGAATTAATAAGTTTCATGCATCAATTCATTCTGTAAACTATATGCAGCACTAAGTTTGCTACTCTTTACTTAACATGATTGCTGAGATTCACTGATTTCTCCAAAAGCCGAATTTTATTAACATAAACTAATGCCTTGGGATAAAAAATGGCTCCCATGAATTTCATGCCGGGTACCTCACAACCATTACACGCATATGACTTCTAATCACGCAAAATTGGAGATGTTATCTCCGTTTTACAGATGAGAAAATTCACATTTCAGCAGAGTCACAAGCCCCAGGCCATATAACTGTAAGTGCCCAAACTAAGACTAAAAACCAGCTTTGTCTGATTCTGAAAGCCACCAGACCACATCACCCTTGCCTGGACTGCTGGGTGGGTCTGACTCATCTTCAAGCAGGAGACTTGAGTTTGTTGCTAATGTTTCTTTTGCGTTTCACAGCTCACTTTAACATCAGCCATACCTCAAGAGGATCTGTTGGAGAAAAAGTGCTTAGAGAAAAAATACACACGCCTCTCCTGCACTAAAGTCTTCTGCCAGCCATGGCAGAGATGCGTGGATGGGACCTGTGTGTGTAAACTCCCGTATCAGTGCCCAAAGAATGGAACAGTGGTGTGTGCAACTACCGGGAAAAGCTACCCAACATACTGTCAACAAAAGAGTCTGGAATGTCTTCGCCCAGAGACAAAGTTTTTAAATAGTGGAAGATGTACAGCCGAAGGTGGGAAAAACCGAGTTCTCGTGTGACACAAGAGGGTAACTGTATGGCATACTAGGAAAAGCCGAGTTTTCTCTGATGCAAAGGGGCAACTGTATGCCCTGTTTTCTATTAGGAAATGCGTCCCTGGGAAACGTTATGATGACAACCCCAAAATTCTTCTCTAGATCCTTGAGAGTAATTGGGGTGATCATTAAAGCAACTAGGAGTCTCTAGAGTCCAGCCAGCCTTTGAGTGCAGGGCACAGGACGCTGAGGCCAGGCCTTCCCCTCAGTGCCCTGCCATGCTTTGCTGCCCAGCCCTTAAGAATTGTCTTCACCCTCACTTCTACTTGGTCTAAAGAATGATTCTCAGGGCCACTGAGTTGGTTCAGAACCCAGAGGAAAAGTTTTCACCCGAGATTGGTAATGACATACATGCTAATTAGGCCTTGGGCCCCTCCTTTGGACCACCAGCCTCAATAAATTCTTCCAACATCTGTCCCCTCAACCCCTATCCCTCTCCCCCACCCTGATCCCTTATTATCTAACAGGCACTTGAGTCACTGCCCACCTGGGACATACTCCAACCTAGCAAACCTCACCAGTCAGACCAGAGAGCCTGTCTATACTTCCTCCAGGTGCCTAATGTAATGAGGAGTCCAAGGCCTTTACATTTGGATTAGTAGGGTTAAGACTAGGGATCTCACCAGGTGTAGTGGCTCACGCCTGTAATCCCAGCATTTTGGGAGGCCAAGGTGGAAGAACCACTTGAACCCAGGAGTTCAAGAACAGCCTTGGCAACATACGAAGACCTTGTCTCAAAAAGGAAAATTAAAATAAAAAAGACTAGGGATCTCCCTATCAGTCAGATTGAGTTTCAAGCACCTCCAAAACCCACCTTGGTTATAGACAAGCTACAACCTCTCTGGACCCCTAAGTTGGAAGATTCTTGTGAAAATCAAATAGAACGATGTATGCAAAGCTCTTCACACAGTGCTTGGTGTTCAGAAAGTGCTCATTAAATTTTAACCATGACAGCAAATCTCGACTCATTGTCTTCCGATGTCAGGTTTTCACAGACACTTTGGGACCTTGAGAATGCTTAAAACATTCTTTTTAAAGGCACCATGACACGCACCAGCTTACAGTAGCCTGTATCTTTTCAAGATGCTAAGGTAAGATGTTGAGATACTGTGGAAAAGCAGAGCCAAAGCTCCCCATTTAACTCATTGCTATCACATATTTGAGAGGTGGAAAGTGGAGGTTATGTTGTCAGTGTCAGATATGTCTTCTCTTGGGGAATTAAATGCCTTAAATATATGAGCATACATAAACCTGGCTGGTCTCAAACTCCTGGGCTCAAGCAATCCTCTCACCTTGGCCTCTCACATTGGCCTCACCATGTCTGCTAGGATTTACAATTATGAGCCATCATGACTGGCCTAACTGGCTTACTTTTAAGAGCGTTGACTCTCAAGTAAGATCAATAGTTCCAATTCCTGGTTTTACTGCTTGGGCTAGTAACCTCTACACTTAAGTTCCTTATGTGTAAATATGGGGATAAACACAGGCTTAATCTTCATGGGGTTGATGTGAGGATTTAATGATCTTCTATAGGACTGCATAGCACAGCCACCGACACATAAATGCTTACTGGTCAGGCATTGTGGTTCACACCTGTAACCTGTAATCCCAGCACTTTGGGAGGCCAAGGTAGGAGAATTGCTTGAGCCCAGGAGTTTGAGGTCATCCTTGGCAACCTAGAGAGACCTCATCTCTACACAGAAAAAAAAAAAAGAGAGAGAGAGAGCCTGGTATAGTGTCACATGCCTACAGTGCCAGCTACTCAGGTGGCTAAAGTGGGAGGATTGTCTGAATCCAGGAGGTCAAGGCTGCAGAAAGCTGTGATCATGACATAGTGAGACCCCCTACTCAAAATAATAATTGCTTTCTATTATTTGTTAAAATCGTCATGGTGTCCAAAGTTAACTTGCAATTATATATTTTATTAAAGACTTTTAATTAAGGAAAAAAGTAAAAATTTAACTATTGCTTGTTATTTTGTTTTTTCTTTATTTTAGGAAAATTTAGTGTTTCCCTGAAGTATGGAGATACTTCAGAGGGAATTGTTGAAGTAAAACTTGTGGACCAACAGAAGACAATGAACATATGTAAAAGCAGCTGGAGCATAAGGGAGGCCAACGTGGCCTGCTTTGAACTTGGATTTCAACAGTGAGTGCTTGTATCCGTGGATTTTCTCTGGGTTGATTTCATTGATCCAACTGTTTGCTTTCTGGTTGCCTAATCTTTTTGTGCTTCAATTTCCTTGTATGTAACCTGAGAAAATTAACTGCCTCACTGCATTGTTATGAGGATGAAATGTGTTGGTGTTTGCCTAGGACTTAGAACCTGGCTGATCACAGAGCATGTGTCAGTTTGTGGAAGCATCCGGACAAGGTGAATCATTTGGTGATTCTGAGAGCCACACCTAAACATTATGCCTTTTCTCTTTTTCTCTTGATCAACCTTGTGCAGAGTCTCCAACCCCCGGTCTGTAAACCAGTACCTGCTAGGAACTGGGCCCCGTAGCCCATGAGCGCAGGTCAGACGAGCTCCGTCTGCTGTCGGATTAGCAGCAGCATTAGATTCTCATGGGAGCCCGAACGTTATCGCGAAACGCGCATGCGCGGGATCTAGGTTGCACTTCCTTGTAAGAGCCTTATGTCTGATTCCTCCCCACCCCAACACCCCGTTAGAAAAATTATCTTCTACCAAACCAGACTCTGCTGCCAAAAAGGTTGGGGACCACTGTAATATAGAGGTTTATCTTTATTACTTTTGTATTTGTAAAGGGTCTCTTGTCTCTTTATGTTCTACTGCATTAATCTTTGCTATTATCTTTGAATCTCCCTTCTTTTCCCTATTGTATTTCTTCTTGAGTTAAATGCTTAACTCAACAGTTTTCAATTTTTCTTCCTTTCCTAACATAAACATTTAAGGTAAAAATTTCCCTCTAGGTAATGCTTCATCTGCATGCCATAAAACTCTAGAAGTCATATTTAATATAATTTCTTCTTTTGGAGCCAAATGGAACTGAGAAGTTTCTTTGTTTAGTTTACTAAGGAATATATCCATTTGCTCTTGATTAACGTTTTGTTATTGATTTTCTATTTAATCGCATGTGGTCAGAGAATATGTAAGATGACAATTATTTTCAATATTTGTTGAGATTTACTTTGTGACTGTTTTTAAATTTTTCCATGTGCAGGGTTCTATGTAATAGATATGTTATCCATTAGAATTAGCAAGGTTGTTAACTGCTTTGTTCAAATCTTTTTCCCGTTTCTTTACTCTATATCTTTATATTTTAACCATATTTTTTATAAACAGCACATACCTAGTTTTTAAAAATTCACTATGACAGTCACTGTTAACTGAAGAGTTTAATCCATTTACTTGATTGTGATTACTTTTGTGTGTGTGTGAGTCGTAGTCTCACTCTGTCGCCCAAGATGGAGGACAGTGGCTTGCCCAACAGCTATCTGCTGGGCTCGGGCAATCCTTCCACCTCAGCCTCCCAAGTAGTTGGGGTTATACGTATGTGCCACCACACCCAACTAAGTTTTTGATTTATTGTAGAGACAAGGTCTCGCCATGTTCCCAAACTGGTCTTGAACTCCTGGGCTCAAGCAATCCTCTGCCTTGGCCTGCCAAAGTGTTGGGATTACAGGCGTGAGTCACAGCACCTGGCCCCGTACTTACATTTTTAAATTTATTTTCCCCCTTGTTTTGGACTTATTATTTACCATGCTTTTTCTGTGTTTTTTTTTTTTTTTTCATTTCTAATTTCTATTAAAAATAAAATTTTAAAAGTCTTTCTACTTTTCCTCTTCCACTTGATTTGGAAATTAGACATTACATTTCTGTTCCTTTAGTGGTTACCTTTCTATTTATACCATTAATCCTTGATTTAAGAAGTTCTCACCTTATTCAGTACTAACAGAAAGAAAAGTCGTTACCCCATAAAGTTTTCAGTGTTGAGTTCCATCTTATTTTTATAAGCCCCCAGAAGTTATCCACTATCATTTTATGAGAAGCAATTACTATTACTGTTAAGTCGATGCTTACTTGCATTTACTTTAATGTTTACCAGCTCCTTGTTTTGTTCTTCTTGTATCTCACTCCTTCATTCTGGATTCAGCTTTCTTCTTCTTAAACCACATCTGCTAGTCGTTTATTAGTGAGAGTCTCTTATTGTTAAATGGAGCCACAGGAGAGTTCAACTTTCCACATCTGTGACCTGCACCTTATGGTTCAACCTCCTGGTAAATTCTCACCAGCTCCGATAGCTCAGGATTCCACTCCTCATCATATTTTGCATAAACTCATGAACAGAATTCTCTGATTTTAGCCAGTGCAGAGTTCCCTTACTTCCTTAATTGCTCACTGAGGGAATGTATTTTGTTTTATATAGTATTTTTAGACATGTTTGAGTTGATAGACTTTTCAGATTATTTACCTAAAAGATTGCCCCCAAATGACTTTTTCTTGTTCTCATGGCACAGCTTCCTCACTGTTTCAGATCTTGTGGATCTGAAATAATTAAAAATGCCCTCCTGTTCTCTTTTTGCCTTTTATTCTTTTTGTGGGGAGGGGGTTGGAATCTCACTGTGTCACCCAGGCTAGAGTGCAGTGGCACACTCACAGCTCACCGCAACCTCGGCCTCCAGGACTAAAGCAATCCTTCCACCTCAGCCTCCCAAACAGCTGGGACCACAAGTGTGTGCCATTATGCCCAGCTAATTTTTTAATTTTAATTTTAGGTAATATTTTGCTATGTTGCCCAGGCTGGTCTCGAACTCCTTTGATGATCCTTTGGCGATTCTGAGAGTCACACCTGTTTATTGTGCCTTTTCTTTTCTTTTTTCTCTTGATCAACCCTGTGCAGGGTCCCCAACCCCAGCTAGTCGTTCATTAGTGACAGTCTAATGAAGTGAGAGGTTTGCTTGAACCCAAGCAATCCTTTCACTTCAGCCTCCCAAAGTGTGATTACAGTTGTGAGTCGCCACACCAGGCTTATGCCTTTTATTCTAATTAGTCTGATATTTATATTGCCATTACTGTCTCATTTTTGTTTCCATTTACCTGATGCATCTTTGATCAACTTTTAATTTTTAACCTATTTTCCCCATCTTCTTTTAAAGAGAAGCAAGGAACAGTAAAATGTCCTGGGTTAATAGTTCACTGTAAATCATCATCTCTAGGATGATACATCACTGAGACAGCCTCTTCATACCAATTCTGAACAGATTGAGAAGTCCAAGCTATGACACACAGATGCCAAAATATCACCTTAACTGTCAGGCTTAATTGAGAATGTAGCTTAGCGTAAATGCAGAGTGAACCTACTAGGATAAAACTAACTTATCTCTCAAATCCTAGGCAACAATGGCACCAACCAGATAAACCTTATATCATAGGGCAGACAGAGAGACTCCTGAAAGGAAAAGATGGAAAATCTGAACTGATCATGTCTGATTTATATTTCCAAAATTCTCTGATCAAAGTAATCTACTCCCTTTCCTGGAGAGAAAAGGAACTAAGGACCAGAGAGAGGCCAGAATGACACAAATCAGATTGGAAGGAAACACCAGGAATAAGAAAGAATCATTCCTCCTTATCAAGAAACAGGGGAGGCTAGGCACAGTGGCTTGCACCTGTAATCCCAGCACTTTGGGAGGCTGAGGCAAGAGGATTGCTTGAGCCCAGAAGTTCAAAACCATCCTGGGCTACATAGCAAGATCTCGGCATACAAAAAAATCAACAAATTGCCTGGGCATGCACCTGTAGTCCCAGCTACTCAGGAGGCTGAGGCAGAAGGATTGTCTGACCCAGGAAGTTGAGGCTGTGGTGAGTCGTGATTGTGCCACTGTATACTCCAGCCTGGGCAACAGAGTGAGACTACAACTGAAAAAAAAAAAGACGACGACGACGAAACAGGAGAGAAAAACTGATATTTGCTAAGTGTTTGCCGTGTTTTAAACCTTGGCCAGTTAGTATAAATTATTTTATTAATCTTTAAAAGGTAGTTTTATTCTCTTTCCTATTTTCTGAGTCTCAGATAATTTGAGTATCTTGCCCAATACAGAGAATAAGAGGAAATTACACTAGTCCTTTATTTCACAGTAAGGTTATAAATGCAAAGCACTAATTAGTCTACCATGATGTTTTATTTACTCCATTTACAGAGGTGCTGATACTGAAAGAAAGTTTGCTGCTCTTGAAGCTCCCTATACAAATTCCACTGAATGTCTGCATGTGCGTTGTCGAGGATTTGAGACCAGTTTGGCTGAATGTACTTTTTTTAAGAGAAGACATAGTAGACATCACCAGAGTTTAGCTAGTGTGGTGTGTTACACACAGAATGCAGGTTGGTGGAATACTTGCCTGTTATTTTCCCTTCCTTCAAGGTTGTTTATTTCACACCAAGCCTATAGTAAACAACAAATGATTGATACCCCACAGCCCGTTACAGATGCAATGATGTAGACTCTACCATGTGTTGGGCTTTAGAGTCTAAACTGATGCTTTTCTCCTATGTGCCTTTTTACCATTCAAATACAGGCTCTTACCTGGGAAGTAAAGTGGCCTGACTCCCCTTTGCTTCATTTGAATGTCTGGATTTCAGTTACTATAGCAAACACAAGTCAATCAAGCATGAGAAGAAACCTCAGCATCTCCTTTGAGAGTTCCAGCATATATACAGCCTTTAAGTGACCACATCAGTGCCTCCATTTCCAGGCAGTCAATGCCACTTTGCCCCTCCATCTAGACATTGGAATATTTTAACCATATGTATGATTTTAAAGACCAAGGTCATGCCCATGCCTTCTCTGTGATTTATATATATATATATGATTTATATATATATATATTATAGCACTTTGGGGGTTGAGGCAGGAGGATTTATATATATAATCATATATATATATATATATTTATATATACTCCCCCATCTCAGAGAGTACACATTTTCACAGTAAGTACTAATTTTCAGAGAAAATGAAAGACCTCCATGAGCCAGATTCCTTTTTTTTTTTTTTTGAGTGGGGATCTCTCTCTGCCACCCAGTCTAGACTGTGGTGATGTGATCACAGCTCACTGCAGCCTCAAACTCCTGAGCTCAGGAGATCCTTCCACCTTAGCCTCCCAAGTAGCTGGGACTACAGGTGCATGCCACCACATCAGGCTAATTTTTTTTTTAAGACACGAGGTCTTGCTATGTTGCCCAGGCTGGTTTCAAACTCCTGAGCAAGTAGTCCTCCTGCCTCAACCCCCAAAGTGCTGGGATTTACAGGTGTGAGCCACCACACCTGGCTTATTTCCCTTATTCATCATAAATACTATGTTGATACTACCAATATATTTTATATCAGTTTTTGGAGTCTGATTTTTATCTTAATGACTCCATTATCCTAAAAATGTGATAAGGATTTCGTGCCACAGCTTCATAAATAAAATTCACGAAGATCACTCCTGCTTTACAGATTTGTCAACAAATGAATCCTTTCAGTGTGTGAATGGAAAATACATTTCTAAAACAAAGGCCTGTAATGGTTTCGATGACTGTGGAGACCAAAGTGATGAGCTATGTTGTAAAGGTAGGCATACATCTAGTCTTTAGAGCCCCCCGAATTCATTTTTCTGACTTAAGAGGTTAAAAAAATCGTTACCCTTGAATTTCAGGCTGTGCCTCTTTCAATTTGAAGAGATGGAAAATATCTCTCCTCTTCTTCTGTTTGCACAGAGTGCCGAGGTAAAAGTTTCCATTGTAAATCGGGTGTTTGCATTCCAAGCCAGTACAAATGCAATGGCGAGGTGGACTGTATCACAGGAGAAGATGAAGTTGACTGTAAAGGTAATTCAAAGTCTCGGGGTGACTTTCTTCATTACTGAACCCAGGAATTCTGAAACTGTGCTTTTGGTACAGTGTACTCTTAACAGATCCTAGGTGAGTATAGCAATAATACTACTGCATGGGCGTTTGAAGAATTCTGGAATGTTCATCTCCTCATTTTTTTTTTTTTTTCTTTGAGTCAGAGTCACGTTCTCGGCACGTTCACAGACACCCCAGCATCAACCTGCTGAGCTCCTACAATCCTTCCATCTCAACCTCCCAAGTAGCCAGAACTACAGGAGCATATTACCATGGCCGGCTAATTTTTTGATTTTCACTGTAGAGATGAGGTCTCACCAAGTTGCCCAGACTGGTCTCGAACCCCTGGCCTCAGGCATTCCTCTCGTCTTAGCCTCCCAAAGTGCTGGGATTACAGACCTCCTCATATTTTTATCATCTAAACATCTACTTATCTCAGAACTTTTTATTAAAAAGAAGTTCACACACACACACACACACACACACACACACACACACACACACAAACACACAGACAATGAGAATTGACTCCTATGTACCCATCTTCCAGCTGTAATAGTTATCAAACTTGACGCTTCTTATATATCTGTCTTCTAGTTTGTGTTTGTTGGAGTATTTTAAAGCAAATTTCAGATATCATCTCACATCACCTACATGCATTTCTAATAATAAAAGCACTATGTATATAAAACCATTCTCTCATTAGTCTACCTAAAATAAAAATAATTCACTAACATAATGTGATAACAGCCATGTTTAAATTTTCCCAGCTATCTCAAAAATGTCCTTTTCAGTTAATATGTTCAAATCAGGATGTAAAAGAATCTAAATGTTGTGTTTGGTTTTTAAATGTTTAAAGTCTCCTTCATTCTTTTTTTTTAATTGATTATAGAGACGAGATCTCACCAAGTTGCCCAGGTTGCCCAGGCTGGTCTCGAAGTCCAGGACTTGGGCAGTCTTCTCACCTCCATCTCCCAAAGTGCTGGGATTACAGGCGTGAGCCACTGCATACCACTTTCCTTCATTCTTTAGAGTTACCTCCCCTACCTCCCTTCTCTATTTTTTCCTGTACCATTGATTTTGTTAGAGAAACTAGGTCACTTTTGCCTATAAGATATTCCTTATTCTGGATTTCTATAGAATTGATTAGACGCAAGATTTTGAGCTTCAAGTCAATGACAACTAGACCTTTTTTTAAAGTAAGTTTTAATATTTTAGGAAAGAATTCTTGATGAATCTTGCCATGGATTTCTTTTCTTTTTTCATTTTTGAGTTGGAGTCTCACTCTGTCATCTAGGCTGGAGGGCAGTGGCACGCTCGCAGCCACTGCAGCCTCCACCTGCTAGACTCAGGCGATCCTTCTGCCTCAGCCTTCCAAGTAGCTGTAACTACAGGCAAGCGTGCCATGTATTTCTTATTCCATATGATGTCTTCTTGTCTGGTTGTCCCACTTCTAGTGATACCTAACTGACCACTGGATCAGCTTGATATATCTATCCATTTAAAAGCCCTCCCATAACCTTTCACTGAATAGTTTTAGCAGCTTTTTAGTTGTTGTCTACATCCATTTTGTCAACAGGAGCTGTAAAATGGTGATTTCTAATTTTCTCATTCCTTCTGCATTTATTAACTAGAAATCTAGATAGAAAAATCTTTCCTTCATTAACTCTTCTGTTTCCATGATTCCAACTCTTCTGTTTCTTGTGATTCACAGTAGAAAGGCAGGATAATGCCTAGTTCTTTCTCTTTACACACCAAGTTTCAAAGTGAGTTGGTGTTCTGGATAACATGCAATGGTGGAAAACATTTTTAGGTACCTACTCTGTGCCACATGGACCAACTTTTTGCTCCCATCAATGCTCTCCAAAGGAAAAAAAAATCTCTTTAAGTTATTATAATCATTCATTTACTCAATGAATATTCATTAAGTTCCAACAGAGCAGGCCCTGTTCTAGGTACTCACGAATAACACTTCCAAATCCCTGCCCCTTCGTAGATCTTACATTCTAGTGGCAGAAGAAAGACAATAAATGAGAAGAATATTAAGTAAAATAAGCACTCAGAAGAAAAATAAAGCTAGGAAGGAGGATGTGAAATGTCAGGGGTAAGTTTTGAAATTTAGGTAAGGGAACCTGGGATGGCCTTACTTACTGAAGTTACTATTAGGTAATGAACCTGAAGGAAGTGGCAGAGCCAGTCATGCAGATGTCTGCAGAACAAAGCTCTAGGCAGAGGGAACAGCCAATGAGTGTTCCTAAGACAGGAACATTCCAAGTGTGTTTGAGGAATAAGCACCAATGTGGTTAGTGTGACAGGTGGTCCAGGTGATGGTGGGGAGGCATTAGGGGACAAACAGTAGGAGAGACTGGAGAGGTGGAGGCTAGAGGTGTCAGAGCAGATCCAATAAGTCCTGTTAGCAAGTGAAATGAGGAGTGACTGTATGTCTTCAAGCAGAGCAGTGTTGTGATCTGATTTACACTTTAAGTCCACGTTGCACTGGCTGCTAGGTGGGAAATAGGCTACATAAGGGCAAGGGAGATGCAGGGACACCAGTTAGGAAACCCCGGCAGTGATCCAGTGAAGGGATAAGAGGGACTGGGGCAAGTTGGCAGGAATGGAAACAATGAGAAATCAGATGCTGCATATATTTTGAAGGCAGAGTCAACAAGATTTGCCCGTGGATTGAACAGGATGGGAAAGCAAATGAGCAAAGATGGCCGCACGGGCTCAGGCTTGAGAATGAACGGGGAAGGCTGTTGGAGGAGTACATCCACCTCATACATCCACCTCACTCACAGGGCTTATCCAGCGGTATGCTGGTGAATGGTTAACAATTGACTTTGCTGGGGGAGAGGGAAGCTCTGATTTGTAGCTTTCTGAACTATACATATGATTTTATTTCTGGGAGTATAAATACTCCCCCGTGGATGATTTCAACCTATTGACAAGATGTCACAGAGCAAGAGCTGGGAAGTGATGGGTACAACAGGCTCTGGGAACCGGTCTGGGTTGGCAGCAGTCCATCACTGAAGTACTTTCCACTGCTTACGGTGGAAAGAAAGTGTACTTGTCCCACTTTTCCTTCTCAACAGTAAGCACCTTTGTTTTGTTTTGTTTTGAGTCAAGGTCTCACTCTGTTGCCCAGGCTGGAGTGCAGTGGCATGTTTACAACTGGCTGAAGCCTCAACCTCCTGGGCTCAGGCAATCCTTCCACCTCAGCCTCTGCCTCCCAAGTAGCTGATACTACAGGCATGTGACACTATGCCCAACTATTTTTTTTTTTTTACTTTTTGTAGAGGTTTTGCTGTGTTGCTCGGGCTGGTCTGGAACTCCTGGGCTCAAGTGATCCTCCCACCTTGGCCTCCCAAAGTGTGGGGATAACAGGCATGAGCCACAGTAAACACCTTGAAAATATAATATGTAATTATTGTTATAATCCAAATGCCCTAGGAAAGGTGCCTTATACACAAACACTAAATAAATGTTGAAGACATGTGTGGATAAATGAACTGAAATTAATTATATTTTGGCATTGCTTGATATCCAGTATTAGACTTTACTGAAATTTTGTTTAATTTTCCATTGATATTAGTTATTATATTAAAGAATAAACTTTTTTAGGATTTCAAATCATATCATTTCTTCTGAAAGATATACAGAAATTGATTTTATTGTCTTTAAATTTCGTTCAATCCTTAGGAAAGAGAGGAAGAAAGGCAATTTGTGGGAGGGAGGACAGTAAACCATGACTTTTGCCAGTGTGCTCTACAGTTTGAGTTCTTCTGTAAAATAATAATTTGGGGTTTTTTTTTTTCTCCTCTTTCCTCCTTTTCTTTGCCATCTTCCTTCCTCAATTTAAAACTCTAATGTTTAAGGTCAAGAAACACAATTTGTTAGTGTATCAGAAAAAGAGATCCTACTGTGAGATAATAACTATAGCATAAATCTTTTTTTTTTTTTTTTTTTAAGACAGTGTCTTGTTTTGTCACCCAGGCTAGAGTACAGTGTGGCACAATCACAACTCACTTCCCTCGACTTCCCTCTTAAGCGATCCTCCCACCTCATCCTCTCAAGTGGATGGGACTATAGGAGCACATCACCACTGGCTAAAATTTTTTAATATTTTTTGTAGAGATGTGGGTCTTGTTATGTAACTCAGGCTGGTTTCGAACTCCTGACCTCAAGCAATCCCCCCACCTCAGCCTCCAAAGTGCAGGGATTACAGACATGAGCTACTGTGCCTGGCTAAATCTTATTTTCATATCAATTTCTTAAATCTATATAAAAAATACGTTTAGTCCAGGCACTTTGGGAGGCCAAGGTGAGAGGATTGCCTGAGCCCAAGAGTTCGAGACCAGCCTGAACAACATGATGAGACCTCATCTCTTAAGAAAAAAAAAGTTAACCAGGCGTGGTGGCACACACTTGTAGTTTCAGCTACTTGGGAGACTGAAGCAGAAGAATTGCCTAAGCCCAGCAAGTTGAGGCTGCAGTAACTGTAATCGTACCACTGTACTCCAGCCCAGGCAACAAAGAGACTCCAACTCAAAATGAATAAATAAATAAATTTAATCAACTGTCATTGTTACTTCAGTTTACCCTTTTTTTTTTTTTTTTAGGATGACCCCTGCCTTTTTTTATTTCTGTAATGGTTCTAATTTTTCTCCATCTAAGAAAGAGCACATGAGAGCAGAGATGTAAAACAAAACTATTAATATATCCATCGACTTCTACTTTAAATGGCCAGGTCAGAATCACTAAATTGAGGACAGTTTGGAGTGTATCTTGATTGCACTTGTCTTTTATAAGCCCTCCTTTTATTAACATAAGTTTAAAATAGTTATAAAATTTATGTGATCATATAGTAAATTCGCTATTGAGTATGCGTCCAAATGTATCTAAAATACTAATCTCTTTTAAACTTCAAGTTAAGACAATTTCCTTGCCATGGTTAAATGCAAGAAGAAATATGTGTTATGCAGTATTAAAAATCAAAATAAGATGATATACTGTGGTTTCCTTTTATCTTTTTGTAACTATTAAAGCTAAATTGTGTATATTTTATTCAAATGAAAATGATCTCTTTGCTATAGCGAGTTTTTTCTTTTGTTTTTAGGAGCTAGACATCCTGCAATTCAAGGTAAATCTATTTTTATTATAGAAAACTTACATTACAGAATTGAAAACAAAAATAAAGTGCTGTGGTTTTCAGGATATATGTAGAGTATATTGATATGCTGTGTATTTTTCTCTCAGTTAAAAATTATCTTTTGCTATGATAATGTTTTTGTTTTTCTTCAGGCTTTGCACCTGGGGCACAAGGTAAAAATTTTATTAAAATTTGGGATATAGAAAAATTGCAACAAAACCAAGTTTCCATTGTTTTCTTATATTTTAATGTAACTATTATCATACATGAGCATGATATGAACATGTGTTAGCAATAACAGACTTTAACATTACTTTAGGCACAGAAGCCTTTTTTCAATGTGAGAAATTTTCACTTTTACACAGCCTTGTCCACAGCCTGCTGACCAAAACCCCACCCAAAGTGAACCCATCCCTGCCTGTTTCACCTTTGCAAATACCTTTCTCCACTTTGATTTCCCTCAAAACCAAGGCAATTCCTAAGGAAATTGTCACTAGAAAAAAGAGAACATCTTTTCATGATAGGTATTATGTTCTTATTTACTTAAACCAGCCAGCTGCCCCCAAGTCCCCAGCCCTTTGGGGCTACCCTCTGCTTAAATATTTATATTAAATGACTCAAGTACCAAACCTACATAATGCTAAAGTCATGGTCTTCCTCATGATGTCTTAGATTTCTGGGGGACTTACTAGCCAAAGATCACCCCTTGCTTTAAATGCCTACTCCCCATTATTTCATTATCTTCCCTCCACTGGTCATTTCACCTTCTGAAGCTTTTCTTTTTCCCTCCTTCTTTGTTCCATTTCCCTTTTCTTTCCTCCCTCCTTTCTCCTCTCCCCCTTCCCTAGTTTCAGACCTCAGGGGCAAAGGAATGAATTAACGATACTCCTCAGCTCACTGTAGCTTGGTCCAGCCAAGGCCCCTCCTTGTTTCACTAATTCATTACCCTCTACCCTGTACCTCACTCTCATGCCCTCCTGCCATAGCAATCATTTTAAAGTGAGTTAAAGTGTACTTCTTTTTGATTGCAGGTCGTCTTGCCCGATGTGCATTGTTATTTATTCCCAGAGCCCTAGCCTATAATAGTCCAATGTCCTTGTATTCACAGATGGAGGGGAGGTGGGCAATGCCCACTCCAAGCTTTCAGACACATTCCTGCCGACCTTGGTCCACTAATCATTAGGTGGCCTGCCTTGCCTGGCTGTTTCTTCTTCAGCACCAGCTACAGTTTCCTAGATAAAACTGGTTAGTCGGGCAAGGCCGTGCTAGGAGAGGAGAAGTGGGGCAGGGGGAATAGGAAAAATGTACACTTTTGAATCTAAGCAGCTTTTACATTTAGCTCAACTCAGCTACAAAAGAACACAAGTTTTTAGTCTTTTCTAAATGATTGTTCTAATACAACCAAAATGGCCTCTTTTCAGCCTATAACATCTTGGAGTAGGCATCTCCTTTATTTGACTGCTAGTTTCCGTGTGTTCTTTAGCAGAGCTGGTATGTCCAGTCCTCACTTCCACCAATAATGCCCGAGGGTTCTCTTCAACCCCACCAACATCAAGCATTATCCAGCCTTCTAATCTTGCTCATCTAGACCGTCAAGTGATGGCATTGTTCATGATCTTACATTTTTGTAAGACCCAATGATTTTGAGTTCCTCCTATGTGCATACTAGCCTTTTTTAGTTTCCTGTGCCATTTCTTTCCTCTGTCTTTTCATTAGTTTGCATCCTTTGCTTAATTTCATATTTCCTTCATGGAAGTCCTCTTTCTTATAAATTCACAACAATTCCTTTTTTGTTCTAGATATTACTCCACTGTCAGTTTTAAACATTACAAATAGTGTCTTCCATTCTGTCACCTATCTGTTAACATATAATCAAAGTCATCCATTGTTTTTCTTATGGTTCATACTTTTGAAATTGTGTCTGCACTTCTGACACCCAGTACACATCAGCTGCATTGGACTTTCCCCTTTCCTTGGCTGAGAACTTTATGAAAATATTTGTGTCTCCTCTGATTCATGAGGGTTCTTTTGTAAATCCTTCTGAGCAGAGCTGCTCTCTGTCCCAGAAAACAACTTAGGTGAGTGGTATCACAGACCCATGTATGTCTGTCCCAAAGAAAGCTTGGGAAATCCAGGGACAAGATGATAGAATTGCCCTTCTGGGCTATTCCGTCCCCAACCACATCCTCATCCAAGGAAGAGCAACATGTTGGTGGGAACTCACCTTCAGTCCTTTCCCCAGGCCATGGAAATTATGATCCTGTCCATGGAAATGTTTTGGGATGGAGAGTGAAGGTGGAAATATCCTACCTACGTCAAGAAAAAGAAAATCTAAGGAAACATAGAATCTTTTTTTTTCTTTTGATTTCTGCCTCCCAGATGTCTAATGCTAACTATACCAAATATTGAAACCAATGAAATACCTTTGTTTGCATGACCTTTTGAAAGATGCACTATTCTATACAAAATGAGAGGAGCCTATTAATGTCAGGTCAGTGTCAATGACTGCTCCCTACCTTATGTAAAGACCTTGTGAAAGGAGAGAGTGAGAGAAAAACTTTCCTTTGATCTGTGCATTTTACACATTCTAAGCACAGAAAATGGTGCCAGCCTGAGTCTCACCACTCACTTGTACAAACAGACACCTCTAGCTTGTGCCAGCAAGAACTTCTACATAGTTTAATTACTTTACAATTGCCTACCTAGAGAACGGGAATAATTTAACATGCTCTGGGTGTTTTATACAGTCCTGTTTAAAGGGAGGACAAGTTTTGAGGCAGAAAATTATAATCAAAGTTTAAATGATTTTAATGATTTAATTTTCACTGTCATTACAACTTTAAACATTGGAACTTCTTGTTTTATCATGGAAGGCCCAGAAATTTTGACAGCGGATATGGATGCAGGTAAGCTAACATTATACTTTTTCACTAGTAATTCACTGGTTTAAGCTGGAATTGTAATGCCATTTGTGTATATGCGTGTATGTATGTATAATTGACTCAAGCAACAGTTTTGATATCAATTTAAATTCAAAAATACACATTGTCCTCCTTTCTCTATTTTAAGAAAATCAAACATAAATAATTTTTTTAAACTGCTTTTATTTTTATTTATTTATTTATTTTTGAGTTAGAGTCTCACTCTGTCACCCAGACTGGAGTGCAGTGGCCGCTCCCGGCCACTGCAGCCTCGACCTGCTGGGCTCCGATCCTTCCGCCTCAGCCTTTCAAGTAGCTGGGACTACAGGCATGCGCTACCACGCCCAGCTAATTTTTTTTAATTTTTATTGTAGAGATGAAGTCTCGCCAAGTTGCCCAGGCGGATCTCGAACCCACAGGCTCAGGCAATCCATTCACCTCGGCCTCACAAAGTGCTGGGATTACAGGCTGAGCCACCGAGCCCCGCCTAAAACTGCTTTTATTATTTGTTTGTTAGTTATGTATTTATTAGTTATGTATTTATTGAGTTGGCACCTCACTCTGTCACCCCAGCTGGAGTGCAGTGGTGCAATCACAGCTCACCATAGCCTCAGCCTCCTGGCCCACGTGATCCTTCTCTCTCAACCTCCTGAGTAGCTGGCACTACCAGTGTGGACCATTATGCCCAGCTAATTTTTTATTTTTAATTTTTTTGTAGAGAGACGAGGTCTTGCCACATTGCCTAGACTGGTCTTCAACTCCTGGGCTCAAGTAATCCTCCTGCCTAAGCCTCCCAAGATGCTGGGATTACAGGCGTGTCACTGTGCCCAGCTGAGAACTGCTTTTAAAACTGGGTTAATTCATATGGCTAATTCTGAAGTGAAAACAATAGGCTGTTCCTACACAAACTTTTTCTACTTTATATAAACTTTGTCTAGTCAGCTTTGTTAAAACAACCAGATTTCAAGTATGACTCATGACATACATTTTGAAACAGAAAAATAATAGAAGTTAATTGAATTAATTGTTCTTTTGCATTGCTTTAAATCATGATAACATGATAACAGGCCTTTGAGATCTGTATCCTGGCCAGTTGTGGGCTAAAAGCCAAATTAAATTTTAAAGTATTAAGTTCCTGAGAAGATAATTGGTCAGAGATTTTAAGTCAGACAGATTTACAATAAATCCTACTCATTTATTAGCTATGTAACCTTAAACAAGTAGCTTAACCTGAAATACAAATTGGGGAAAAATTAGCTCCCTGCTTCAGGGAGATTTTATTTTATTATGTATTTTTTGCATTATTTTGTTTTATATTTTATTTTATTTTAGAGTCAGGGTCTCACTCGGTCACCCAGGCTGGAGTGCAATGGCACAATCACAGCTTACTGCAGCCTCTACCTCCTGGGCTCAGGCAATACTTTCACCTCAGCCTCCTGAGTAGCTAGGACTACAGGCATGTGCCGTGATGCCTGGCTAAATTTTTTATTTTTTTTGTGGAGAAAAGATTTCACTTTGTTGCCCAGGCTGGTCTCAAACTCCTGGGCTCAAGCAATCCTCCCATCTTTGCTTCCCAAAGTGCTGGAATTACAGGCGTGAGCCGCCACATCTGGTGCCAGGGGTAGTTTTAAATGAAGTTCATATAAGACTTCCAACTAATTGTCAGTCCCCAGAATTAATCAACAACTTTGGAAAATCAGGCCATGAGTGAAAGATTTAGACATCAAAACTACAGATATCAATGGCCATTTATTTTCTATTTAAGTTAACATTAATTTTCAGATACTATCCAAACTGGTTGGTTTTAGAGTTCTCACTGGGTGAAGTATCTCTTCTTTCAAAGGTCTAATCAAAAACTTAAGACTTACCATCACATTCTTCTTAGGATGGGTAAGACAAAACAAAATCTTCTATCCATGTTCACTGGCAACATCTTTCTTGAGGGCCTACCTCCTTGTGATATGCCCAAAATGATTAACAGCAGTGTTAACTTTCGTTTTTCATTTGGGGCTAAGAATCAAGTTCACAAAAATTTTCATGACATGGTAAAGTAGAATAAAGGGAGTATCTTTTACTTTCTTCCACTGTCATGAGTTTTCTTGCATGTCTTATGCCTCCCTCTACCATATTTTCTCAGTTTCAAATGTGCTACATCTGCATGCTCACAGATGGGGAAAGTAAACAATGTCACACATCAAGTGACACACCCCAGCCTGCTGATCAGCTTGGCAGAGGTCCTGGCACATCACCTCTCAGGGTTAATATGATGCTTGAATGAGAAACTGTATGCAAAGTGCTTAGTATGGGAGCTGACACATAGGAAGTACTCAATATTAATATCATTATGTCAACAATATTATTGAAAAGAGTTCCATGTACTCTAAAGAGTAAAAACAATGAGAGGGAGAAGACAGAGGTCCCCACATTGTCAGCTTATCCTGATGATTTCAGAACATCGTCTTTTCTTTAGCGGTCATTGTAGTAATGTGACATCTCTCATCTCCTAGAGGCTGGTAAATGTTTAACCCCCTGGCCTGCCCCCTTCTGCCACCAGTCTACCTTTAGGCAGAAGTTCAGAGAATCGAGCCAATTTTAAAAACCAAAATTTTTAAACAAAGGTGAACAGTACAGTTCAGCGTTCAAAATAATTTATGAATGAATTCAGTCTGTTTTGTATTAGCTGAGACTTTGCTGTTTTTGTGGCATAATCAAGAAGTATCTGTCCACAAGGTAATAGATTCAAACTAATATTGATATAATCTCTTCATTTTCTGAAGAAAGAAAACGGATAAAGTCATTATTACCTACACTATTCTGTGGAGTTAAGAAGAACATGCACACAGACGCACACGCACGAAGAAGAAAACGGGTTGTGGGAGGAAAGCCAGCCCAACTGGTAAATTTGCATGAAAAGTCACGATGTAACTTCCCAGGAGCAGCCTGAGCTGGGGGGCATATGGGGAGTGATGGTGATTACAAGAAACTGGGAGTTTCTTGCAGTGGAAATGTCCTAGGGTGACCTGTTTGCATCACTATCTGTTAGAATGGCAGTGACCACACAAATGTCTTTTACAGGGAGACTTCCCATGGCAAGTGGGAATTAAGGAAGAGGATGCAATCAACTGTGGGGGAGTTTATATCGGTGGCTGTTGGGTTTTGACTGCTGCACATTGTGTCAGGTAAAAAAAAAGTCTCCACACATTTTAGATTTCCTGAAACCATGAACATGAGTAATAGAGACTGTGGCAGACAAGAAATCAAAGTGTGTCTGAGAAAAGGCATTGACTGACAAGTTTCACCCTATCAATTGCTATTGATTATCGATATAAATTTCTTCTAGTATTCATGACAGGAACTCCAAAGGCCAGTTACCCAGAATGGCTATGTCTTCCACACACCAAACTGCTGATCCCACTGGCCAAGGACAGATAGTCCCATAGTGACCAAATTACCTGGCTTGGCCCATTTGCAGGGTAGGAAAGTGGGTAGGTACCATTAATACTTACATTTTGTCCTCGACTGTGCCTCGCCTACCTTTTCTCTACTGCGCAGCAAGAGTAATGTTTCCATACCCAGCTTTTGGCTTTGCATTCCTCTGAGGATAAAAACCTAAGCAAGGTGTTTACCATGGCCCATGAGGCCACATGTAATCTGACCTTGGCCAGCGTCACCTTGACCCACAGCGCCGCCTCCTGCTCTCTGCTCCAGCTACTCTGGATTGTTTTCGGCTATAAATGTGTTTGTTCCCTCCTGCAAAGGGAACTTCTGTATTGTTTTCCCTGCCTAGAAGGAACTTCCTTCCCATTATTCAAACCTCAGCTCAGTCTTTACTCCCTCAGAGAAACTTCCCTGACATCCTTAAGTTAAAGCTCTCTTAAGTTCTTAAAAGCCCACAGACTGTTCATTCCTCTCACTTTTCCCAGTAGAATACACATCTTCATCAGAGTGATTATCCATTTAATGCTGAATCTTCCCCAAGACCCTGAGCTCCATGAAAGCGGGAACTCTTTGATTTTGCTTATTTCTGCATCCCAATGCCTAGCACAGTGCCTGCTATATGTAGTAGGTTCACACTATTTGTTGAATAAATTGAAAGAATAAACAGTTAACCTTTAAGCAATATTCAGAACCTCCGATCCTGAAAACCAACCAAAATTAATATGAAGGACAGCATTCTTGGGCCACTATAAATAAAAGCATTCTGAACATCTTATTATCTCCTAGGATACCACTGCTTAACTGTAGGGTGATGAGCTGAATCATCCTTATGTAAGCATACATTCTGCTCAGTTTATGCTTTTTTTTTTTTTTAAGTCAAGCAACATTTGTATTTTTTTTAACATGTGGGGTACAGTTCAGGATTAGGTATACAAGTGGTCATCAACAGGTGAAGTTTGGGCCTCCCTTTGGTCCCCACTTCGCCTGGTTTGAGATCAGATATCCTTATTGATGTTATGTGCCACCTCCCTCCCCTGGCAGTGTCCTGCTACTGCCAATCACTTTCTTATAGTACTTTTTTTTTCTTTTTAGTTGGCGCTCAGGCTGGAGTGCGGTGACACACTCCTGGCCCCCGCAGCCTTGACCTATGGGCACAGGCGATCCTTCCACCTCAGGCTTCCAAGTAGCTGGAACTACAGGCACATGCCACCACACCTGGCTAATTTATTTATTTATTTATTTATGTAGAGATGAGGTCTTGCCAAGTTGTCCAGGCTGGTCTTGAACCTGTGGACTCAGGCAACCCTCTCACCTTGGCCTCCCAAAGTGCCGGGATTATAGGTGTAAGCCACCACACACCAGCCTCTTTCTTATAATATTATGGTAAATATTCAGGGTCCGCTTTTGAGCAAGAACATGTGGTACTCAATTCTTTGTTTTTGTGATAGATTACTGAGTAGTATAGACTCTAAATTCATCCAAATTGCTATGAAGTCCTTATGTTTGTCCTTCTTTATGACTATGTGATATTCCATAGTGTATATATACCATATTTTTTTATCCAGTCCAGTTTTGATGGGCACTATGACTGGTTCCATGTTTTTACTATTGCAAGTTTATGATTTTTGAGAAAGCAGAAGATATATAGTTAATACATTTTTAAAGATTTCCATTAAACTGTTTAAAATAAGTTTTATTGTTTAATACAAATCCATTTTATAAAATACTTCACTGGTTAGAGATGCTAGACTATGAAGTCATTATATAACACCTTACTTCAAAACAAATAGAAAACTAAGCTATAATATTTCATTGAAGTCACACTATACTGTTCCCTGAGAAGATGATGGTAGGCACCCAATTAACTTGAAACCATGAGTTGGAAATTGGTATGAAAACAGTGAAAATTATAGGCATATGTTACTCTACCCAGCCTCTTTGGGATTTTCTTTGTGTACAGTCATGTTGCCTGCAAATAATAACAGTTTTATTTCTTTTCTATCATATACTCTTTATTTCTTTTTTCTGTGTTATTGCACTGGCTAGGACACCAAGTTTAATGTTGATCAAAAGTGGTGATAATATTTTTTCATTCCAGAGCTCGGGAAGATCTTTTTAAATAATTCATTATTAAACATGATGTTCAATGTTGATTTTTTGCAGCTATTGTTTATAAGATTAAGAGAATTTCTTTCTATTACTATTTTGATGTATCTTCTCTAGTCATGGATGAGTGTTGTATCTAAAAATTATTTTTTGCATCTATCAAGATGATAATAAGATATATTCCCTTATTTCTGTTTATATTATAAATATATTTCTTGATTTTTTAGAATGTTAACTTTTACATTCCCAGAATAAACCTCTCTTGTCTCTGGGAAAAAAAAGAAGAAAACTGAGTGAGGCATAAGAACAGGCAATATGTGGGGGACCCCCCAAAAAACAGGTATAATCTTTTTTAGAGGGTGGGCCCCTTCTAATACCGGCTTTTCCCAATAGGTAAGTGTCCTAGGAACCTATCTGCATCAGTGTACCAGCTGGTGTTGTGAGAGGCCGCTTTCAGCTTCAGTTAATTTTGGGGGGAGATTCTTTCAACATGTTTGCCCATTTCATGATGGTGATTTACAAGCATAGCTGCCCATACCTTGCTGAGTGTTCAGCAGCTTTTGACCCCAAACGGCAGGACTCTGTGCCCCATCCTCCCTACTCACCTGATCTCACCCCAAGCAACTTTTTTCTGTTTGTTTCCCTGGATGAAAAAGATCCTCAAAGAGAAACATTGTACCAATGTGGGATGACAGTAATCTTAAGGGCAGGATAACTGAGTGGTCTTTGCCCTGAGAACCGCTGGGGCTGGTGGAGTAATGAGAGTGTGTGGTCCAACTCCCCAGTTCCTCCACTGCATTTCTGGCAAGATGTTGTCTGGTCTCTGCTTTTACACTTGCAGTGACAGTGTACTCACTCCAGAGGCGGCAAACTCATTACACTTCTGGGCATTTCTGGCTGTTAGTGAGTTCTTTCTGTTCCTAATATTGATCAGTAAAGTGGATTATCCCTCTCTTTACCACTTACTATTGACCTAATTCTGCACTAAGTAAATGTAATCTCACTGCTTCATGACAGCAAGGATTTTTTAAAAAATCTGGGAAAATGAAAAATATCCTTTAAAAGGGATAATATAAAGTGTCAAAATTCCATATGTACATTTTTTCTCAATATGGTTTATTCTCCCCCCCCCCCCCTTTTTTTCCTGTTATAGAACCAGTAAGACTCACCGTTACCAAATATGGACAGCAGTAGTAGACTGGCTAAAACCTACCTCTGAGATAACAGTTGAATGGGTGAATAAAGTTATTATCCATGAAAACTATAATGCAAGCTCATACCAAAATGACATAGCTTTGCTTGAAATGAAAAAAGTTGCACACCAGAGAGACTGTGAGCTGCCTCATTCCGTCCCAGCCTGTGTCCCCTGGTCTCCGTATTTATTCCAACCTAATGATCGATGTGTCATTTCTGGCTGGGGTCGAGAAAAAGGTATATGTTTTAACTTGTTAATCAGAATCCAAGGGTTGAAAATAAATGGGGATAGAAACGTATGGGAGGCTGAGGCAGGAGGATCACAAGAACCTAGGAGTTCGAGACCAGCCTGGGCAATATAGCAAGACTTCATCTGTACAAAAAATACAAAATTTAGCTGGGCGTGGTCACACACACAGCTACACGGGGAGGCTGAGACAGGAGGATCACCTGAGTCCAGGAGGCTGAGGCTTCAGTGAGCCGCGATTATGCCACTGAACTCCAGCGCGGGCAACAGAGTAAGACCCTGAATCAAGAAAAAAAGAAGTATGAGAGCTAATCTCCTAACACTTTGAGAGAGACAACATCATATCCAGAAAAGTAAGCATTCAGTGAGGCCTTGCTTCATGGGTTTGCAACCTGCATAGCTACTCAGCACCCCATGCTCAGAAGGACCCCATGCTCTCCTGTCACCATCATGGAGTTCATAATAGTTTTTGCAAGGGCCCCCACTCCACATTTCCATTTTTCACTGGACTCTGCAAATCATGTCGCCAGTCTTTATCTGGACCATCAAAGGACATAAACATTCTCTCTGAGTGTAGTACAAAGATTGAAGGGTAATATTCACTAAGAAAGAAATATAGAGCTAGACATACATCATGAACTTTTTGAATTTATTGGGGAGATGTGGATAAAATATTAAAAGGTGGCTGGGCTCAGTGGCTCAACCTGTAATCTCAGCACTTTGGGAGGCCAAGGCCAGCGGATTGCCTGAGCCCGCGGGGTTTGAGACCAGCCCGGACAACTTGGTGAGACCTCATCTCTACAATAAATAAAAAATTAGCCAGGCATGGTAGTGCGCGCCCATTGTTCTGGCTACTTGGAAGGGTGAGGAGGAAGGATCACTGGAGCCCAGCAGTTCGAGGCTGTGGTGGCCATGAGCGTGCCACTGCACTCCAGCCTGGGTGACAGTGAGACTCCAACTCAAAAAAAAAAAAAAAAATTAAAGGGCTTGCAAAGGAGTCACCTTAGTACGTGCTGAATCACTAATGCCCACGACCCTCCTTCTCTCTCCTCTCCTTTCTTTTTCCCCAGTCCCCGTGCCCCACACTCTCTACAAAGAGAAAGAGAATGTAAGGAATTCATTCTTTGAACTACTCTTTTTTTTCTTTTTGAGTTGGGGTCTCACTCTGTTGCCCAGGCTGGAATGCAGGCATGATCTCAGCTCACTGCAGCCTCAACTTCTTTGGGCTCTGGCGATCTTTCCAACTCAGCCTCCGGAGTAGCTAGAACTACAGGTGCGTGCCACCATTCCCCACTTATTATTTGACTTTTTTTTGGAGTCGAAGTCTCACCCTGTCGCCTAGGCTGGAGTACAGTGGCACATTCATGGCTACCGCATCCTTGACCTGCTAGGCTCAGGCAATCCTTTCTCCTCAGCTTTCCAGGTAACTAGAACAACATGTATGCCCTACCACACCTGGCTAATTTTTTTATTTATTGTAGAGACGAGGTCACTCCATGTTGCTCAGGCTGGTCTCAAATCTGTGGGTTTAGGCAATCCTCTTGCCTCTGCCTCCTATAGTGCTGGGATTACAGGCATGAGCCACTGCGCCCAACCTTGTTTGATTTTTTTTAGAGATGAGGTCTCATTGTGTTGCCAGGCTGGTCTCCAACTCCTAGGCTCAAGCAATCCTCCTGCCTTATCCTCCCAAAGTGCTGGGATTACAGGTGTGAGCCCCCATGCCCAGCCTATTCTTTGAACTTCTAAGAAGTCTCAGAGCAAACACTTCATATAAATAAGAGATGTGGGCACTTAAATTATTTTTACATGCCAAATTAGAGATTAGATTAAAATTAAACTAGCCAACACTTTTTTCTCATCTTAAAGATGTAATCTTAGCATTTAGCTTCCTTTTGACCTCTTAAACTCACTTTGTTAGCAGAAATCCTGTTACTTCTTTGCATTGGTCTTGCAGACTCGTATTTCTACACATTCTTTATAGTGGCTACACTGAAAAGTGTAAAATATGTGTATAAATTATTCTGGGTTTGTGGTATGTTTGAATACCCAAGACTTATTACATACTAAATTTTATTAGGAATCAGTTCACCCAGAAGGTATTATGTCCTTATGCTTGTTCTGTTTGTTTTTGTTTTTAACTATTTTATTATGTACATTACAAGTATACACTAAAAGTAGAGATTCAAGTAAAATGCAGCCTTGCTCATTTACCACCCAGTTTCCACAGTTATCAACATTCTGCCATTCTTGTTTTATCTCCCTGTAAAATCTGAGTCTCCATAGGGTCATTGGGAAGGTTTATTTATAAAGATGTGGATGAGGGATTGGGAAACCGCAAGTGTTATGCAGATGCCCAGAACTAGCATTATCAGAGCCGCCCCAATCCCTAGATCTGAAGGTGGAAGTTACCAGAAGGAGAGAGTCTCAGGTAAAGCGGGCTGCCTTGAGAGAAGCAAGAACCTTAAGTTGACTGTGATAGTCAGCCCCAGTCTCACTCTCCTCACTTCTTCCTTCCCTCCCCCTGCTGGGGTCTGCTTTGTCCAAATCCAGCTGGAAACCAGAGGCCTATGGACTACTGTTGAGGCAGTGTCTACAGGTCAGGCTCTCTTTTTTTTTTTTCTTTTGAGTCAGAGTCACTCTGACACCAAGACTGGAGTGCAGTCACACTCACAACCATCACAGTTTTGACCTGCTGGTCAGGTAATCCTTCCACCTCAGCCTTCACTATAGCTGGAACCTCAGGTTATTTCTAAAAGACTTTTCCTCAATTAGGGGAAATATAAATTACTAATTTTTAGAAGCATGTTTAAGGCAGCCATCTTGAGACTAATTTGAAGTAAGCCTTGAAGGGAGAAATAGAAACTTCTTGATTTGCCATATACTTTGGTGGTATCTCTCTACTTCCCGAGAGTAGAATATTAATTCAACAACTAACCACTAGAGTTCACTACAGTACTAGGGTCTGTGGGGGTGTCCTCTCAGGATAAACCAGAGGTCTCTGATCCTAGGCAATTTGAGGGGAGTGGGAGTCATTTAGCATAAGATATTTGGTATATCATTGAATTACTCTGAGTTCATGCATTAATTAATTACACAAATATTAAGAAACTACATGATTTTGGGTGCTGGTAAAGAGTAAATCAGGCCTATCTCCTTCCCTGCTGGAGCCTTGGGTTGTGAGAATGCTGACACCAAACGAGAAACTACAGCATAAAAATTCCTCTGATCTGGGAAAAGGAGCGGGGCAGATAGGCTGAAGACTCACTCCTTATCCCTGAGAAATTTCACCCTGTGTTCTTGTTTTCCTCATCTTCCCTACTTCCTCATCTTCCCTACTCTGTCAGTCAACAGTGCTTGGCCCTTCTCTTTTCTTAGACCAAAGATGTTCAAGTCCCATAACTTTTACATAGATGAAGAGAAAATCCGAAATCCCCTTTTAATCACTTCACATCACTAAGGAGATGGATTTCCTCTCAGACACACAAAAACTTATACACGTTGATAATTTCATATGTATTTTCTTTATTCAAACTTCTTCTATTGAAAGGCTGTTTTCACTCCAACAAGAGCTTTCAAAGGAATAAGGAACTGTAGGAAAACAGGACATATTTATGTGAGAAGACCCCATCACTGTTTTTTATCCAACCGCCCTACTGAACTCAGCACCCAAAGGGGCAAGTTTTATGTCATTCATCTCTAGGTACCAGCTCTTTATTAAATGGGTGTGACTTCAGACCACATGGTCAATAATCCCCTTGATTAGCCACCCAGTGTTAGAAGGACAATTCTAGGAATGGGGACATGGGAAGAATGTGATCAGATATGTTGAGGAATTGTCCTCAAAAGTCTATTTATGGGTTAAACAAGATATACTCTTTCATAGTCCTTATGGTTTAAGTTATGAGAGTACTTATTTAGATTTCCCATATGTGATTTGTCAACGTTTGTTTGTTTTCTCACTTTGTTTAGGTAACCAAAAAGTCTTTTCACTTAAGTGGGGCGAAGTTGACCTAATAGGCAACTGCTCTAAGTTTTACCCTAATCGCTTCTATGAAAAAGAAATGGAATGTGCAGGTAGGTGCTGGGTGGTTGATCTGAGATGTTTATTCCCCTGCCAAACATACCTCCTCCCCATGGTATCAGTTCCCCCTCTGGGCCCTGAATCTTTCATTCGGCCTTCTGGCTGTTGTATTGCCAAACTCTTTGAGTTCCTTCCCTGTAGCTCAGTTCCCCTGATTTCTAATAGTAAGAGGAAAACATCTTCCTTATGCCATTAGATAGCAGTACAGCAAGGTGACCGAGAGCACAGGCTCTGGAACCAGATCTGGATTTACATCCCAGTTGTGAACAGCTGCTAGTCATGTGACCTGAGCAAGTTTGCTTGTTTGTAGAATGGAAGATCTAAGTAGAAAAGGAAACTGAGATGCAAAGCAGTCATGTAATTTGCCCAGCGTCTTACAGACAAGAGGTAGCATACCCAGGGTCAAAACGAAACTATTTCTAAAGAAAAATTCAAGTTATCTCAGATGCCTCCATTTGGAAGCAAATTCTCTCTTCTTGGAAATCACATGGCACTTCTTACATCATGGCCTCCTCTGATATCAAAGTTAAGTTAATTCTCCTATCGAATGCAACCACAGCTGCTCCTGCTTTTGTAGGTGATTCACAGGCAGGGTACTACTCTGTGTAGTGCTTTAGCACATTTAGGGTACTTTATTGAAATTTTTTTTTAATTCAGGATCTCACTCTGTCACTCAGGCTGGAGTGCAGTGGCACGATCACAGCTCACTGCAGCCTCAACTTCCTGGGCTCAGGTGATCCTCCTACCTCAGTCTCCTGAGTAGCTGGGACTGCAGGTGTGTGCCACCACGCCTAGCTAATTTTTTTAATTTTTTGTACAGACAAGGTCTTGCTGTGTTCCTAGACTGGTCTCAAACACCTGGGCTCAAGTAATCCTCTTGCCTTAGCCTCCTAAAATGTTGGGATTACAGACGTGAGCCACTGTACCCAACCTGAAACCATTTATAAATGACGTATTACTAAAAAGACAGGTGTAGGCATTCTATAACTTCTTGGATACAGTGATTTAAAAACCTCAGAAACTCATGAATGAGAAGAAAGTGTTCTTCCATCTTAAAATAGAATTTAGGATTACAGTGGACAAAGAGGTGAATAGCACAATATCTGCCAGGAGGCAGGATCACAGTTAGGAGAACAAGCTCTGAGGTATGACTGCCAGTGGTCAAGTCCAGGATCTGCCATTTGTTAGCTATGTGACCTTGGACAAGTTAGTTAAACTCTCTCTGTCACATTTGTCCTGATTTTAAAATAGGGGCAACAATAATATTTGCCCGATAGGATTGTGGTAAGGATTAAAATAATAAATAATGCATATAAAGCACTCAAAAAGCACTAGGTATTCCTATTATTTTCCCACTCAGCATTTGATGCAACTTTCGGATTATAATCTCATTTTGGGACATAGTTGCATGAAAGTAGTGAACACAGGAAAAGCATGCTGAATTGGGGGAATGAGTAGAAGAAGACTTACAAAGGACTTCCCAACCTGTACCTCTCCAATTCTGAAAGCCCAGCATGGACCTATAAGGAGGGAGAGACCATGTTATTTCCTGTCAGGGAAGTGTAGGAAAGTCAGTCATTACATACATTGGTAGAGGAGGCAGGAAGTGGAGGAGACGCTACGGCTTTGATAAATGGAAAGAAATGTGTGAGCTTCTCTTTCCCATTGCTTTCTCAGGTACATTTGATGGTTCCATTGATGCCTGTAAAGGAGACTCTGGAGGCCCCTTAGTCTGTACGAATGCCAACAATGTGACTTATGTTTGGGGTGTTGTCAGTTGGGGTGAAAACTGTGGAAAACCAGAGTTCCCGGGCGTCTATACCAAAGTGGCCAATTATTTTGACTGGATCAGCTTCCATGTAGGAAGGTCTCTTATTTCTCAGTACAATGTGTAAAATTGTGGTCTCCCTCTTCTTTCCTTTTTTCTCTCAAGAGTGCCATTTAATTTGAAATAAAGCTGTATAATTAATATTTCTCTAGAAGGAAAAAATAAAGCAGTCTCATCAAGTATTTTTTAAGGTCTCTACAAAGTTTACACCATATTAGAATTTTGCTGTATAATGCTCAAATAAATATTTTGGTTAAGCATATGTTAATGAAAAAATGCCATACTCTGTAAAATACTTAAGAGGGTTTATTCTGAGCCAAATGTAGTTACCTAAGCACGTGATACCATTGCAAGAGGTCCTGAGAATGTGTGCGTGAGGTGCTTGAATTGCAGCTTGGTCATATACATCTTCGGAAGACAGATGTTACACAAAACCATAAGTCAATACATATGAGAGTTACATTAGTTCAACCTGGAAAGGTGAACCACCTCCAAGGAGTGGCTTGCAGGCCCTGGGTGGATTCAGAGATTTCCTGATTGGCAATTCATAGCAAGAGTTAGGCTTTGTTTCAAGGAATTTTGAAACCAGTAAAGGAAATACTGCATGAGATTGGGGACATTTAGATAAGGCGCACTGAAGGAAGTCAAGTTTCTTAATATGTAGATAAAGCCTCATAGGTGGCAAACCTGACAGAGAATAGATAACAAACATCTAGCTCCTCTGTGGACCTACAGGAAAGGGAATTCTTTTCTTTTTTAATCATTGTTATTATATTTGTGTCTCATTCCCCATCTTTTTTTTTTAAGATGTGGGGTACAATTCAGGGTTAGGTATACAAACGTTGATTATGCAGGTACCCTTGTTGCTGAGGTGTGCCTCTCCCTGCCCTGGCAGTTTCCCTCAACTTCCAATCCCTTTCTTATAGTATTATGATAATTGTTCAAGGTCTGCTTATGAGTGAAGGAAAGGGAATTCTATACAGATGCAAATTTCTCCTGGAGAAGGCTTTGCAGCATGAAGTATTTTTAGTTCCTTCTGTATAAGTTATGTGATGTTATGCTAAAGACAGATTGGAAAGCAACCCACATTATATGGGATTAATAAAAACCATCTTCTCAGGGCCTTCAGTTAAGAAGTTGGCAAGAGAAAAAAATAAAAAAGATCATGTTTTAGTCTTCAACAAGTTTTATGTATCAGTATATTTGATTAAGTTATGTCTTTATGCAGGAGGAATGTATAGACTGAAAGCAGGTACCTATAGAAACCTAGAAGAAACAGCTTATTCTTAGTCTTTTTGCCTCAGCATAACCATTAGAAAGAGTTTAGACATTCTACTGCAGGCCAAGTGGCAGCCTATCCCACTTCTTCAGCAAATCTTTATCAAATGCAAGACCAGGACAGCCCAACCTTTCAATTCATGATTTAGCATAATAATCTATAGTAAACTTTCAGGTTCCTTGTCAAGGTGGAAAGTCAAGGCTATAGAAATGATAATAAGACCACATTTGGTCAAGGAGTTTGCAGACTGCAAAGGTCTAACAAGTCTCTTGCAGGAAAAACTCTGGGCAAGAGGAGGAGTCAATGTCATTCAACTAGTTTATGGGTAGTCCAAGGGTAGTCTATATTAAGGTAATCCACAACACTGCTGGAGCTGGCGTGCCAGAGGTGGGTGCCGGTAATGAGAGATCCGAGTAATGCAAAGATTTGCAGCACATAAAAAGAAAAGGAAGAAAAGGTTTATTTAAGAAAAAGGTCACTTCCCATGGACAGGTAGAGGGCCCCAAGTTAACCTAATCAGCCCTTTGTGACCTATGTGACACAGACAGACCCCACCATGGCAGCAATCATGTGATTAACCCACCCATCTACCTGTTGTCCATCATCTGACATCAGTACCTGCGCTTAGCTGCCCCTTCATGATGACATGCCACCACCCAATCACCTTAATGACCTTCCCCCATCAAAGGGAATGGTTAAAAGGACTCAACCATGAGCAGCCATTCTCCATTGCCTTACTAGACTCTGGTGTGGCCATGTGCTCTCTGAGTTATGGTTGTCACCATGCTTCCTAGCTTTGGGTCCACCATGGGGAGGTGAATCTTCTCTCTCTCTCTCTCTCATTTACTTTTCAATAAACTATATTTTCTAATTTAACTTCCGTGCAATTCTTTGCATCTTTCATGTGGCATTGGATCACACCTCAGATGGTCACACTCACCTTAGAGTGCAGGTCCTCTTCCTGTCTGTGGGAAGTGAGCTTTTTCTTAAATAAATCTTTTCTTCCTTTATCTTTTTGTGTGCTGCAAATCTTTGCATTACTCAGATCTCTAATTACCAGCACACAGCTCCGGTATGCCGGCTCCGGCAGTGTTGTGGCCCTCTGCACCTTAACATAGACTACCCTTAGACTACCCATATACTAGTTGAATGACGTTGAACTCACATAAGCCTAGATTCAAATCTCAGCTCTGTCACTTCCTACATTTGACCTTGGAGAATGTATTATCTTCTTTGTGTCTTGTTTCCCATCTATAAATGGAAACTGGAAATGTATGAAGATGAAACTCCACATATACTCATTGTAAAATATTTGGCATAGTACCTGCCACAGGGTCATAACTGTTACCTCACAGCTCTTCTCCCATTTTTCTGCTTCTATAAATGTTAACATATCTTGACAGTTTGTCTTTGCTCCCTCATTTCACAAGTTCTCCTTGACCCTTCTGCTAAACCTCTCCACAGAAACTTCAACACAGCACTGACCTCCATGGTGTCAGAACTCATTGTCACTTCACTGTTCTCATCCCAGCAGCATCAGACCCCTCAGGGCATCACACTCTTCCTTCTGGTGGCATCTCTCACTTTGCACTTTGTCTGATGATTTCATGTAGACTCTGTTTTAAATCAGTCCAATGACACAAATTCATATCTCCACCTCTGACCTTTCCTAGAGCTCCAGACTAATATATGCCACTGAACACCTAGTATCACCATGTGGATATCTAGTAGCATTTCTAAAGAAATGTGGCCAACCCAAACTCACAGTTGCCCCTCCCTACCCTGCTCTTTCTCCCCACCGTAAATAGCACTACCAAGCCCTCAGGGCTACTGTAAATGCCGTCTCTATTGATCACATTACCTGCTTTGATCTCAGCATAGCACTTGTCATCTCCAATGCATTCTATTTTTACTAGTTTATCTGTACCTTCCTCACACTGTCCCTGTCAGCTCTGCTCCCTTCTCTAGCTGCAGTATAAGTGGCAACGGTCTGTCTTCCTTCTGGCTGCATCCCTAGCTCTTAGTTCATGGAGAGTGCTCAATGAATACACGTTAACTGCCTTTATTCTTATGTATTTATTTGTTCCTTTGTTTGTTTGAGTCGGGGGTTCACTCTGTCACCCAGGCTAGAGTGCAGTGTCCTGGATCACGGTTCACAATAGTCTCAATCTCCTAGGCTCAGGCAATCCTTCCTCATCAGCTTCTCCTGTAGCTGAGACTACAGATATGTGCCCCCATGCCCAGCTAGTTTTTGTAGAATTGAGGTCTCACTGTGTTGCCTAGGCTGGTCCTGAACCCCTGGACTCAAGCGATCCTCCCACCTTGGCCTCTCAAAGTACTGGGATTATATATGCGAGTCATCACACCCAGCTTATTCGTCTTTTTTAAAGCAGTGCTATCATCATATTGAAGCCAGATGTGTAGCTTTCACAGAAATATTACCTTTAAAATGGCATTGGGGGGTGGTCAGTCTTGCATACTCTCCAATTGTTTTAACAATGGAAATGCCCATTTTACATATTTTTACAAAATTGATGCTGTCCAGATTTTTTAAAATTGTAGTAAAATATACATATCATAAAATTAATCTTTTTTTTTTTTTTTTTTTTTGGAGTCAGAGTCTCACTCTGTTGCCCAGGCTGGAGTGCAATGACATGCTCACGGCCACCGCAGTCTTGACCTGCTGGAACCTGCTTCAGCCTTCCAAGTAACTGGAACTACAGGTACATACCACCATGTCTGGCTAATTTTTTTATTTATTGTAGAAACAAGCTCTTGCCATGTTGCCCAGGCTGGTCTTAAGCCCATGGTCTCAGACAATCTTCTTGCCTTTGCCTCCCAAAGTGCTGGGATTGCAGGCGTGAGCCACTGCATTGGGCTAAGACTAACCATTTTTAAGTGTACTGTTGAGTAGTATTAAGTACATTCACATTGTAATACAACCATTATCACCATCCCTCTCCAGAATTGTCTCATCTTCCCAGACTGAAACCTCAAACCCATTAAACAGTAACTTACCACCCCTCCCTCCAATGTGGCCCAGATTTTTAATTCATTTTGTCATTGAATGCAGGAAAGTAACTGGTTGTCTATCACTCTGTAAGAAGGAAGCCCCAAATAGTGGCTTAAATGACAATTGTGCTTTGTTTTTCTTATGAATCTAGGGGTCGCCTGAGCTCAGCTGGGCAGTTTCCCTCCCAGACTCTCATCCAGTTGTAGGCAGATAGGGCTGGAGTAGTTATTACAAAGACTTCTTCACTTGCCTGTCTGGTGCCTGGGCTGGGAGGACCTCGATAGCAGGGGCCCCTCAGATACCTCTCTCTATGGTCTCTCCACAGGGCCTGGCAACATGGAGAGCTCAGGGTTCCCCGACTTCATACATAGCAACTGATGAGCATCCCAAGAGAAACTGCAGTCTGCACAGCCTTTTCTAACCTATCCTTGAAAGCCACTTAGCATCACTTCCATCACAAACCCTACCCAGTTTCAAGGAAAGGGAAATAATCCATCTCTTGATGAGAAGAGTATCAAAGTGTCTGTGGGCAGGTTTTTAAAAAACACCTTGTCCTGACTCAGCAATCCTGGAACAATGTGACACCTTAGAAAATGTCTATAGATAAGCCAGGTGCAGTGGCACATGCCTGTAATCCCAACACTTTGGGAGGTCAAGGAGGGAGAATTGCTTGAGTCCACAAGTTCGAGACCAGCCTGGGCAACATAGCGAGAGCTCATCTCTACAAAAAATGAAAAAATTAGCTGGGTGTGGTGGCACACACTTGTAGTCCCAGTTGCTCAGGGGCTGAGGTGGAAGAATCACCTGAGCCCAGGAGGTCGAAGCTGTGGTAGGCTGTGATTGTGCCACTGCACTCCAGCCTGGGCAACAGAGTGAGATTCCCAACTTAAAAAAAAAAAAAAGATGTATGTCTGTGTGTGAAATAAGAAGAGAAAAGTATACACAAAAATTAACTCTAAATGGATCAGAG